GGGGTCTGGCCTGAGACACAAAATGTGGGAGTCATCTGCACATAGATTGTTTTTAAAACCGCTGGTCAGTGTCAACATGGAATGAGTGTGGAGAGAGGTAAGTTTGAGAATGGAGGCTTGGCATCCTCCAACTTTTAGAGTTTGGAGAGGTGAGGAGACATGAGCAAAGGAAAGGGGAGAGCGGGTACCAGGTGTTTGATCTGTCTCACAAAGCATTTGGGGCAGTTTTACTCCGTCCTATAGGGTCGCTGTGAGTCGGAATTGACCCGATGGCAATGGGTTTGGGGTTTTTTGGTTCATTGTCAGCAGGACTCTGAGCAATGTCTGCAGTGCTGACCTCAGCCATATGCCCCCAGAGTCCCAGATCCCGCCAGCTGAATAAACTCCACAAAGCCAGGTGGCTTTCTTCTTAAACTTCTGACTGACTTCTCCATCAGGCCCAAGGCATTGATCCAAGCACAGCAAGATGTGTCAGCAACCGCATAGACATTGCCTTGGCCCACAAGGAGAAAGTCTAGGGAATTCCGTCATCCATACAACCTTGGTTAATGAGTTGAGGCTGACCCGAGTGTCTTCCAGGGCCTAGTTGGCATCCTCGATCACTTCAGCTAAAGTCAGGGATGAATTTTGTACCACCTTTTCTAGTTGAATGACTTCCATTGTAAGTAAAACCACCCACAATGTACCTATGAATAATCAGTGTTATCCCTCTGGAGGGGACGTTGGTGCATCGGTAGAGTTCTTGCCTTCCATGAGAGAGACCAGGATTTGATACCTGCCAATGCACTTCAGGAAACCCTGGTGGTGTAGTGGTTAAGAGCTACGACTGCTAATCAAAAGGTCAGCAGTTCAAATTCACCAGGTGCTCCTTGGAAACCCTATAGGGCAGTTCTTCTCTATCCTATAGGGTCACTATGAGTCAGAATCAACTTGACAGCAATGGGTTTTGGTTTTAAGGCACTTCATGCTCAGCTCCCACCCGTCTGTCAGTGGAGGCTTTCATGTTGCTGTGATGCTGAATAGGTTTCAGCGGAGCTTCCGCCCTAAGATGGATTAGAAAGAAAGGCCTGGAAGTCTATTTTCAAAAATAAACCAATGAAAACCCTGTGGATCCCTGTGGTCTGATCCATAACCAATCATGGGGATGGCACAGGACTGGGCAGCATTTTCTTTTTAATTTTTTTTATTGTACTTTAGATGAAGGTTTATAGAACAAATAGTCTCCCATTAAACAGTACACGTATTGTTCTGTGACAATGGTTAACAACCCAACGACACGTCAACACTCTCCCTTCTTGACCTTGGGTTCCCTATTACCAGCTTTCCTGTCCCCTCCTGTCTCATAGTCCTTGTCCCTGGGCTGTTGTGCCCCATTAGTCTCATTTTCTTTTATGGGGCTGTCTAAACTTTGGCTGAACAGTTAATCTCAGGAGTAACTTCATTACTGAGCTAAAAGGGTGTCCGGGGGCCATACTCTCAGGGCTTCTCCAGGACTGGGCAGCATTTTGTTCTGCTGTGCATGGGGTTGCCATGAATCAGGGCTGACTCGGTGGCAGCCAGCAACAACAGTCCCTCCAGTAACCAAGGCAGCCTCGTTTTGCAGAGATCTTCATGGTCATCTGAGGGCTCCATGGTTTACCAGTAGGGTTTTCTTGAACACTTGAAGGTCCCTTATCACCCCTGTAAAGTGCAAGTCAGCATGCTCGTGAGAGAGAGGCAGGGTAATGCCTACCTCCCACCCAAGAAGCATAGTCCTGAGAGTACATCTGGTGCACTGGGGATAATTACTGTTGACAAATTTGCCTTCCCACTTCATAGGACACACATCAGCCAAATAGCACAGGTTGACAGTGCCCCCCATGTAGGCTCCCACAGGTTTCCTACAGTGTCTCCTGGGCTAGCTGGTAAACCTCCTGGTTCCCAGTTCAGTCCAAATAATCGAGTCCAGTCCTTGTTTTTGGAGGAACTACCTGAGAGCAGTCAGTTTGTTCTGTCCTGCTGTCCAAGGCACCAGCTGGATTGCATTTGTCCACCTCAGTGGTGACTGAGCATGGGGGTGGAGGTGATACGTAGGGGTGTCTTTCCTGGGACTCGCAGGGGTAGGGCCACCTCGGCCTTCTTGTCACAGCCATTGTGGGGATTGGCAGACCCAGCAGTTAGCTAAATCAAAGGCACTTGCAGCAGCTCGGGAGAGCTGCACCAGGAGAACCATGAAAGTTTGAGATCCCCCCACCCTGAGGTGGTCCATCACGCTCAGACAGGTGCATAGGGCCTTCAGTCGCTCTCAGGTACAGGGAGACCATGTCCCGCTGTCTTAGTCAACTAGTGCTGCTGTAACAGAAATACCACAAGTGGATGGCTGTAACAAACAGAAATTTATTTTCTCACATTTTAGGAGGCTAGAAGTCCAAACTCAGGGTGCCAGCTCCAGGGGAAGGTTTTCTTTATCTGTTTGCTCTGTGGGAAGGTCCTTCTTATCAATCTTCCCCTAGTATAGGAGCTTCTCAATGCACGGACCCCAGGTCTAAAGGACACACTCCCTCCCGGCTCTTGTTTCCTGGTGGTATGAGGTCCTCCATCTCTCTGCTGAAGTCTCTCTTTTATATCTCAAAAGAGACTGACTCAAGACACAACCTAATCCTATGGATTATGTCCTGCCTCATTAATATAAGTGCCTCAAATCCTGCCTCATTAACATCATAGAGGTTAGGATTTACAACACAAAGGATAATTACATCAGATCACAAAGTGGTGGATAGCTACAAGATACTGGGAATCATGGCCTAGCCAAGTTGACACACATTTTTGGGGAACAATTCAATCCATGACCCCCTTCCCCAACTAATTATTCTTCTCCTTGAAGCAACTTAACTCAGGGTAGAGGACAGGATGTTGGGAACATGGATGGAACAAGTAACTCCATGCTACGGAGCAAGGCACAGCCACTTTCAGGTTTACCTGCTCAGCAGCTGCTCGCGACACAGCTGAACAAATAGCCAATGTTGTGGCTCACCCAGAGCGCTCAGCTGAGCAGCGAGCTCATCACCACCCATGCCTCCTAGCTCAGCTCTGGGGACCCCTTGTTTTAACCACCACCTCACTTTGCTTTCCGGGGAGTGGTAGGTTCTGCACTACCTTTTTCGGTAGTGACATTTTTCAGTGGGGTCCACCTTAATGTGAGGCATCTGCTGGCCCATCGTCATGACAACATCTCTTAACCTCTCACCAGGTTTTCATGGGGGGGGTTAACTAACGGAGTCTCCCAAGGAGGCAGGACGGACTGTGAGGATCCCTAGGTTCCTCTGGGTGACTTTCATTGCCCAGTGTGTTATCTGTCCGTGTTACAGCCTCGTCCTGGCGTAGTAAGATCCCAAGTGTCAGTGCCTCACCGTGGTGGCCTCACAGGGGTTTGTCTGTCTCTGAGCCACGACCCACTGAAAAACACTCCGAGATCCTTCGCTGTCATCTCTGGACCTGTCTAAGGCGGGTAGGACAGACGCGGGAGAGGTTGAGCCATGAGACACCCAACTGCCGCCGTTCCTCCTTCACAAGCCTTTGGTGCCTGCCCCCACCTCCCCAGTGAGCCTGTCAGAGTTCAAGCCCAGTTCCTGGTTTCTGTCCCTTCTTTTGAACTCAGTGTAGGTGTGTGTTTCTGGGACTGTGTTCTGAAGAGGGGCTGAGCCTTCATCTGGCCCAGGACGAGCTCTAGTATTTGTTGTTAAAATGGGCCCAACCTGAGGCTGACAGCCAGATTGACATCAAGCCCCTGGAATCTGAGAAGAAAGCATTAACCAAGACACCACGCAGGCTTCGGTCTTTGAACCACTTCTCAGTATTCAGACGGCAACCACCTGCAACAAAGTGTAGGACCATTTATTGCTCAGTTGGCCATACAGTTTGGTCAGCGTATCTGCCACCAGTTCTCACAGACTTCCCTCAAGTCCTGCTGGCTGCTCCCCGGACCCTCTTGTCTCTCTGACAGCAGCCCTTCCTCATCACCAAAATTGTAAATCAGAAACTGAGAAGGGTCTGAGCTTCTACCCTGTT